CCCGTTCACGGCCCCCCAACATGGCAGGGATGGCCCAGCCGTGGTGCGGACGGAGAGGACGCGCCTGGGGCGAGGTCCGGGGGGGGCTCAGCACCCACTGGAGAGGTGCTGTTTGCGGGGGGACGAACGGACCCATTGCCACGTGCGACTGACCCAGCTAGAGGAAAAACTCTTCCAGCCTGGAGTCAAACCACGCAAACCGTGTGCGTGGATCAGCGCCAGGAAGCTTTCCGTCCCAGCCACAGCCTCCGCGATCTCGCCCTCGGAGCCTGACTCACGGTCCCGTCGCGCAGGGGTCTCGACGGGTCCCCGCAAGCCCTTTGAAACCTGAACCCTGCTCTGGTTTTTCAAACATAACAACATCAAAGCGTCGCCTGAACGTCACATCCTGCGAGCTAAGGAAGAGCAAGGCCCTCGGCGCAGCCGCCAGCGTCGGAGGGTGAATTTGTCACTGCAGATCAAGAGCTAAACACGGTAAAAAAAAAAAAAAGGAGGAGGAGGAGGAGGCGACGGCTCCCCAGCGTGAAAGCGTTGGATGGGTGGTCTCTGGAGCGTTCCTCCCTGCCCCACCTCCGAGGGCAGAGCCAGGCACAAATACAGGAACTAGGAGTCGCCCATGCGTTTCTCTGGTGCCTTAAAAACAAGCACGCCCCAACGCGAGCAGCCCCGCCGGGCCGCAGGGCGAGGGGATTCCAGCGAACCCAGGCGGGCGAGGGCGAGAGGGACCCTCCACCACCCGCGTTTCCACGTGTAAAAGAGGTGACGCACCACCAGCTCCCCTCTGGGTGCAGAAACCAGCCTCCTCTAGCACAAGCGGGTCTCTCCGCTCGGGGAAATCCAAGGATCAGGCTAATCCCGACTGCGGCGCAGTCTGTAATAAACCCGCGGACGCCTGCAAGCCAAGCTGCTGTAGCAACAGCCCAAAATACTGCTGCAAAACAACTCCGGGAGAGCAGCCGCCTCCTCTCGCGAGAAGGAAGCACGAGTCAGATTGAGCAACATTTTTTTGCTGCCTCTCAGCTGTGACTAAATCTAGCAACTGCCTTTTTAGCTGGAGCCAGAACAACAACAAAAAAAAAAAAAAACAGAAAACAAAGAAAAACACTGGAAAAAGCAAGCAGAGCTCCTTTTCGGCACCGATTTCTTCTGCGGCAAGAGCTTATGGGCCCCTTGTACAGGCAGGCACGGCATTTCCAAGGGGAAGCCGAGCGGCCTCGAGCTCACGCCCCGTGTCCACACCCCCCTGGGCTGGTGGGAGCTTTTGGGCGACGACGGGGCTGGTCCAGGGGGAAGCGAGCGGGCAGCTCTGCGCCAGCTGTGAACGCGGGCCCGTCTCGGGCAGGATGAGATCACAGCGTCCCACACCAGCACCCAACTTTAGGCTAAATATACGCTTAAAGAGCCCGTTCTTCCGCCTCTGCAAGGAAATTCCCCACGGCTTTTTGTTTGTTTGTTTTCTAGGGGGAGGGCAGGGGGATTTAAGTTATTCCTGGGTTTTATAAAGCTGCGACTCTTTCCGCAGCCGATGAGCTGAGGCAGACTCAGCTCCATGCCCCAACCCCGACCCGAGACCCCCGGGGGGCTGTTGGGGCAGGACAGCGGCCTTGCACAAAACCACGCTTCACCCATGGCGCCGCACACGGCGTCCCCCTTCTCCCCCACCTCTCCTCTCCGCACATCTCCCTCCTTCCCCATTCACAGGCATCTCGCCTGGTGCTTTTCATGCAATCAGCCGCCCAAGAGAGTTAATTAGATCAGAAACTCCCCAAAATGAGTTTCAGCGTCTCCTGGCCATCAGCAGAGGCTCAATACTTCCTTCCCGAGGCCAGCATAAGCACCAGCCCGCTTGCCAACACGGTTTGGCATCGATCACCCCCAGCTCCAGCCCTGGCACGGCTGTGCCAGCGCCCTGAACCCCACAGAGCCCAGACGGCGCACGGAGCCAGCTGCGTGCAGCCAGGCGACATCGTTTGGCCTTTGATTTCCTCTGCCCAGCTACGGAAAGGAACCGAGACAAAACAACTTACCGGCAGTGTTTGCTATGGCCAGCGGCAGCCCTTGCAGCTGATGCACCTGGATCCCAGACGCTCCCAAGGCACTGAGGTTAATAGTCTGGAGGCCGGGCATGGAGGAGAGCTGGGCAGCGTTGACCGTGACAGTGCCGCTGGGGAGGGAGGCGATGGGGGTGAGCGTGGTGCTGGTGCTGCCCGTCTGCCCCAGCGACACTCCCTGCATGGGCGCCAAGGTGATTGTCTGGGCCTGAGGGTTCTGAACCTGAAGGTTTTGGAGCTGGATGGTCTGCCAGCTCACCTGCCCGTTGGGACCCACCGTGGGCGTTCGGATGATGATGGGCCCGGAGTTGGGGACAGTTTGGAGCTGCAGGTTCTGCAAGGCGTCTTGGGAGATGGCTTGAGTGGCAAAGGTCTGGCCAGAGAGCGGCGTGGTCTGGAGGGCCTGGATTGTCTGCCCTCCTTGGACTAGCTGAGGTTGGATCAGGATCTGCTGCTGCTGCTGCTGCTGCTGTGATTGTTGACTCTGATCCCCCTCTTTCTGCTGCCCTGGCTGCAAAGCCACCCCAGAAACTTGGCTCTGCAGAGAGTCCGAGCTCTGGACGCTGCTGACCCTCTGGGGCGTCTGTGCCTGGACATTGGTTCCCACTGTCGCGCTGGTGGAAAAATTCATGATGCCCATGTTACTGGTGGTGGTGGTGGTGGAGTAGCTGTTGGCGTTGGTAAAAAAGGCGCCAGAGCTAGCGTGAGACGTGGCTGTGTTGGTGGAACTGATGGCAGCGCCCGAGGTGGCCGGCTGGGAGCTGCTGTCCGGGGAGCCGGAGCTGCTCAGTGTGACCGTCTGAGAGGTGGGAGCCAGGCTGGCGGCCACGCTGTTGACGGGCAGCAAGGTGATGTTGCCGTTCAGAGCCACGGGGACGTTGGCCACGTACTGGGTTTGCCCTGAGAGGGTATTGTTGGCTAAGCCCACGCCCTGGATGGGGACGGCCTGCTGCAGCAGGTTTGGCATGGCAATGAGGTTACTCGTCCCCGCTCGGCTCGTTATGATCTGCTGGTTCGTGCCGGGGATGATCTGGAGCTGACCAGAGGCATCCTGCTGCACGTTGACTTGGGCAGGGGTGGTGGCAAACTGGAGCTGCTGCCCATCGATGGTTTGGAATTGGGGAATGACCTGGTACTGGATATTTGGGATAACTCCCGGCAGGCCCG